ATTGGGATTTTATACCTGGATTATTGAGCATGGACTTTGGTGTATCTGTTCACATGATAAAGGAGGACCATCAGCCTAATAATTGGTAATTAGTGCCTTGATGATACTAACAATAACAGCACTGTAAGAGAGAGACAGTTGGACACGGAGGCCTCCGTGTCCAACTGTCCCCATCTATTTATAAGACTGTTTATTGCAGCACTTCAGACTGACAAAGTAGTTTGGACAAAAGACGAAACGTATCAATAAGTTTTTAATTAATTTATTTATTTGAATCCGTCAGGAGGACCTGACTTAACTTTGTCAGATTTTTCTACCAGAACAATTGAGCATCAGGAAAACTAAGTGGTAATCAATGTCTTACCTGTTGTAGATAAATATTTGAATGGCTTCAGTTTGGAGAAACATAGATTAATTCAGACAGATTGAAGAGCTACTGTTTAGTCCAAGTAGGTTTGAACACAAAAGTGAATTTTGGATGTATTAAGACAAAATCAAACTTCAAAAATGTCATGGTTCATGTGAACGCCATTTTATAAACCCTAACATTGCTGTCAGTTTTGCATCACATGGTTATTCTGACAGAACTATGTTTATATATCCTGGTCCGGGGGTCTTTCTGGGTGGAGTTTGCATTCTCTCTCCGTGCTGCATGGGTTTTCTCCAGGTACTTTGGTTTCCTCCCAAACACCAAAAACACATGCATGTTAGGCTGATTGGTAAATAAATTGTCCCTAGGTGTGAGTGAAAGTGTGAATGGTTGTTTGTCTCATTTGTCTCATTGTGTCCCTGTGATGGACTTGCGACCCATCCAGGGTGTACCCCGCCCCTCGCACAGTAATTACCGGACAAGGGCACCAGCGACCCCCGTGACCCGACAAAGGAAGAAGCGGGTAAAAGATAATGGATGGATGGATGGATGGATTGTTAATTTGTATAGCTCCATTCCTTGACATTTCTTTTTACACTAGAACTCTGCAGTTTTCTGGGAGGAAGTGGATTTACCCACTCAGTGCATGATGTTCTACCACTAAAGTCCCACAAGGGAATAAAATAGCACATCAAAGAATACAAGGGTCTGTCAAATTTACTTTATTAAGATTATTTTAGAAAAAAAAAGTCATCACTGAGAACAAAAAAAAAAACATGGAATTCTTAATCAACACATTACTCAAAATAAATGGTATGTCTGCTCGCTTCGGCACAAAAATAACACTGCTAATTTACCAGAAGATTTAATCAACAGATTTTGTAATTTCACTGTTGAGGCTGCTTGAACCAAAGCATTTCTCAAACTGCCTGACTCAGAAAAAGCTTGTGTCAATACTGCGAACGAGCTTGGGTGTGTATTGATACGGCGGTGAATTTTTATCCGGGATGTTTTTCTGTGGTGAGACATCCTGTCTTCAATATTAGGCACCGTCTCCCCATCACACCCACTGCAGATAATACAATGAACACAACACAATGGCAGGATGTCAAACTCCTCAGATACGGTGCGTTTTTGGACTCCAGGAGAATTTAAGGGCCAATGTCACACACGAATACACCAACAAATTGAACTTTAAAATGTGACACGAACTGTCTCGAATGACATCAGAATCAAAACGCAATCTAAAAATAAAATAATGATAAATGATTAGGAAAAAGTCCCAGTTCTTCAAAAGCAAAACAAAGAACAAATCAGGCTATGAAGTGATTCAAAGATTATAATACAAAAATTACAAAAAACAGAAAACAACATATTGACATTACATACAAGTTAACTTCAATCATATTGCACAAATTCTCAAGTGGCAATTTGTACTGGCCCTCTTTGTTCTGTCTCAAGGAAAACAAAAAAAAATCTACACACACACAGATGGAAAGAGTTAGGGAATACACTACATATGTCACATAAAATGACAAATCTTTTTCTAGTTCGACACATACTGGGAGTATAAATGAAGCTGAATAAATAAATTAGGTTATTAAACAAATGGGAATACTGCCAGTATATCTGCTATGTTCATGATACAATCAAACAATTAACATCACAGTTTGTTATATTGTCAATACAGGCATGTTGTGTGGTGAGTGACACTAAATCTTTGTGTTTTTCTAAAGTCTTGGAAGGGCTAAAGAACAAATGATTCATGAGATTTATGTGGCAAGATTATAAATTGTAATTGTACATGTTTCGGTAGTATTTACTAGACTGTGGAGTCCAAAATGTCTGTATTCAGAGCTGACATAAATACTCTGAGTTCAACCAAAAATCTAATTTAAGTTATGGGGGAATTCATAATTCATTCATGCTAAAATATACAAAATAATTTACTTGGAAAATAGTTTTGTCTTTTCTTGGAGTTTTGAATACTTTGTAAATACAACTAAATGTTAATATTCTTTATTTTATCACATTTTATTGTTTTACCCCCTTTAGTTTCTCAGTGCAAGGATAGAGCTTTTTTTTGTGAAAGAACCTGTGAAAAACTAAATAACTGGTAAGACTAACTTTATTTAAGTGTTTTCATGTTTTGTTCTTTATTTTTTGTAACTTTTTTTTTAAGTATTAGTATTAAATGTATCACCATTTTTTTTTTTTTTTTTTACTTTATGATAGTTTCCATCAGCTGGTTGTAATCAGGCACAGCTAGTCAATAATGGGAAGTGGGGCTCAGCACCACTTAAAAAAAAAAAAAAAAAAAAAATCACCTTTTAATAAATAGTGTAAATTTATTACTTTTTGTGAATTATTTTGTTTATATGATTTTCAACTATTTGGACAGTTTTAAATGAAATTTCAGGATTCATTTTCATAGTTTTTACTTATTTTTAGTTATGGCGTGGCACACTCCCCGTGGTTGTCAGTAGATTCATCGTATCGCCCCGTCGGTTGTGATCAGAACTGCAGGCAGCTCATTCTGCAGGTTGTAGCCCATTGATTTGGACACTACTGATGCTAGACCTCACGTGATCTTATTTAAATGCAGGAATAACGTGCAGCAACACCTGTTGTGTCCCACCATGAAGAATTTGGGTTTTAATATCAATTTGTGAGATTAAATTATCGGTCAGCAGCTTGGAGCAGACCAACTGGACATGACCAGGACACAGAAAACTAAAGACAGAGGAGACATATACATCGGGACAGTTTCTCCATCATACCTGTTTTCTGTGCTTGCATACAATGATGGATCTTGTATAACAAGTTATAGTTTGTGAAGGTAACGGGTGCTGCTTTAAATCCAAAGAGATGAGTATATAAGCACACACCACTTATTCACTGTACTTTTTTTTTTTGGAGTTTAGAACAGCATTTATTGTATTGTTTTTACTTATTTATTTATTGTTGGGGTTTTTTGGGGGGTGGGTTTGTTTATCCCCCATTTACCTTTTAGTTCTGAAATATTACTGTATAATTCTTACTTCATATCAAATCAAATCAGAAATTAAATTCAGAAAACTGTGTACCTGATCGTCTGTTTTATTTTACACAGTTACAATTTAAGATACTCGTGTTTTGGGTGGGGGTGGATGTGGGTGCGAGACGCATCTATTTCTCTAATTTAATTATTAGACTGAACTCTTCGCAAAGCACAACCTTGACTCAGAGAAGCAAAAATAAGGTGACATGTATGTGTACTGTACAAAAAAAAGCATCAAGATAAATATTAGGCAACACATCTGTAATTTTCCTCATAAAATGTTACGCAAATTGTAAAACTTGTGTGATTAATGATACAGGAAACGAATGTCCGCCCCACTAATATTAATGCTCAGACACCATCAGTGGTTGTAACATGAGCAGGAACTGTTTCAGGATCTACTCCTTGGGACTCCCAATTTTCCCATCACGGAATAAGTCTGTAGGAGTTTCAAGTTGGCTCGTCTCCAACTGGAATCATGGCTGGCTTTCTGCTCGAAGCAACAATAGGATTTTAGTGTAAAAAAAAAAACGTCGTGACCCAGAAATTCCTACTTATTTCTGGGTGAAAACACCCTGAATATGAAAAATCAGAATGAACTCTAATTGTAATCTCTAAAAACTATAGGTGGGGTACAACATAAAGATCTCTACTCTTAGGTTACCATGATGATTTTTTTTGCCTGAAAACAAATTTAACATGAAAAGGTGTTTGGACAAACTGAAAATATATGATGAAACATGTTTACAGCAAATTGCTAGCTGTGTAGAGGAAATGCTGTATACTTGACCTCAACCTGCAGAATATTTTAAGGAAACTCCGCCCTTTAAACAAAGCTGAATGAGCAATCGCTTAATAATAAATGAACAGGTCTGACGTCTAAACCTCCAAGTGCAGTGACTGACTGCATCCTTTGGGCGACATTACTCAGCTCTGAATACAGTAATCTCTAAAAGTGGGAATGTTCATAACAAAATGATACATTCTGAGCTCATTTGACAAAAACGTTCTACTCTGATGATATGTTTTCTTGAGTTATTATGAAATGAAGTGTGATGAATTCTGACCTGGAATAAAACTGGGGGAAAACACCCACAGGATAGCATGAAAATGGTCTGATAAGTTTGTTTTGTGAGCTACCAACGACCCACGGAGTCACATTTGAGTTCAAATAAAGTGGCAAAAAAAAAGACAGAAAATATAAATGAAAGGAATAAATTCACCATAAAAAAAATCTAGGTTTATGCTTCAGTTTAGTGCCAGACATCTAAACATCAAGAGGTAGCTGAAAAACATTATCCTTGGACTATAATTAAAACAAAGTGAGCACTTTAATTGTCTGATGTGAGTTCTTCAGTACTAATAATGCTGCTGATGAGTTGGGTGGACTGACCTGGGTAAACAGCCCTGTTTGTATCTTTGATGCACGTAAAACAGCATTTCATCTGTTTTTTTTTTCCAATGCCTTTGAACCTGTGTGTCTCCTGGATATCTATTATTGTGCTTCCATCACGCGAGCACAATTCATCGAAAGGAATGCAGTGAATTTCCTGTTAGCTCTTAGGGGATATGGTTTGTTTTTCCTGTTGCTGGGAGCCAGGTTTTTTTTGTTTGTTTTTTTCTGTTTGGCCTCTTTAACTTCCTGTCTAAAAGGTTGACTATACAAAGAGACGGCAAAGGTGAGCATCTGAAGTTAATTAAAAGACTTTGGTTACTCTTCAAACAGCCTTTCCCACCAACACCATCAAAACTCCCAGCTCACATCCATTTCAGATACGGTGTGTCAAAGACATCGTTTGTGCTTTTCAAACATGAATTAAGGAAAGGGAGCGGGGAGTTGACAAATGCTTTTTAGGCATCAACAGGAGAAAAAGCACAAACCCCCAACGGGTGACTTTGAAGGGAGATGGTGGCCCTGCTGCTAGAACAGGCTGTAATCTCATGCCATGCTGCTGGTCGGTGTGCTTTGGGTGCTGCCAATGCTCGCATTCGCGCTGCTGTTCTCGGAGGGGGACGGGTTGTTGGAAACAGGTTGTCGCTTTGCTCCAGAGCAGGGGCATCCTGGGGAGAAAAAATAAATATAATAAAAAACTAAGATAAGCCTATAAGAACTTGACAGACTGAGCAGATAAATTTCTCACTAGGAAGTCCAGCTCCGGTCGACCTCATGTCCAGTCCAGCTGGGTATCCTGAGTGAAAATAGAATGAAATCATCTTAAATCCTGACGTTATCCAGGTCGGGTCAAAGAAAAACCATCCTGCTCGTAGTTATGCATTTACCTGTTTTAATCTTGATTAACCACAGTGCTCCTATGAGTAATACTCCAATCAGAAACCCTCCAAAAGCAATACCCAGAACACCAGGTAGACAGAAATCAAAGCACGAGGAATCTGAAAAATAAACGTGAAACTATAGTGAACTCAAATGTTAGATATGTTGGTTAATATTTAGTACATTGACAGTAATGTGATATGATGTGGACTTGTAGAATTGGTTTACTGAATGTGCAATAAAATGAGTCATGTGATGGTTTTATTTATGAGCATCACCCAAAAATGGTCATAACACAGTTAAATTTACAGGCTTTGAGTTAAACTTTGGGGTGGTAGTAGCTGAGAGTCATCCCCACCACAGGCAGAGAAGCTGACAGATTGCACAAGATCTATGGCATTAGCAGAGTCAATCCAGTTTGTCTGTTAGTAAAATATCTCATGAATGACTAAACATATTTACCATATTTTTCGGACTACAATGCGCACTTAAAATCCTTTAATTTTCTCAAAAATCGACAGTGAGCCTTGTAATCAGGTGCACCTTATGTATTAATTCTGGTTGTACTTAATGACCTCGAACTGATTACATGTGGTTATTGTGAATAAGTTGAATAAAGTTTGACTTATCTGTTTTGTTTCGCTTAATGTTCCTTATAAGCCGGTGTGCCTTATAGTCCAAAAAGTATGGTAATTAAACTCAGAAAGTAACCAGTGGCTATGCATTTACAGATGACTCGAGTTTTGGATTCATTTTATTTTTATTTATTTATTAACCTTCATTTAACCAGGCAAATCCTATTGAGATCACAAATCTCTTTTGCAAGGGAGGCCTGGCCCTGAAGGCAGACTAACATGCATGTTTTTTGGTTTGTGGGAGGAAACCGGAGTGTCTGGAGAACACCCACAGAAGCATGTGAAGAACATGCAAACTCCACACAGAAAGACCCCAGGTCCAACCGGGGATTGAACCCAGGACCTTCTTGCTGTGAGGCAACAATGCTAACCACTGAGCCATCGTGCTGCCATTCAGCATTCAGCATGGCTGCCACTGCTAATCCAGCCTAACAAAAACAATAATTGCTATAACTCAATCATTTCAGATTCTGATTCAGATTCAAACAACTTTATTTAGCCACACAAGGCAATGCAGTGAGACAGTTTCCAGCTTTCCACCCATGCACACATACAGTACATGTGCTCATATAACTAAAAGCAATAACAACAACCAATAAAACAAATAAAATATAAATAAATAAAATATAAATCAATAAATGAATTAGAAATATACATTGAACAAAAACAAACCAACAGATATCGTCATCACAATTCATCTATTTTTGTGGTAAATCTGCAGGAATAACTCAGAGCTGCATGCTGCTATCAAGGTCAAGCAACCTGATAGAAGGAATAAAGAAGTTTTGATTTTATTTACTGTATTTTTCAGACTATAAGGCGCACCGGATTATAAGGTATAGCAAAACAAAACAGTCAAATAAGTGAAATTTTATTCATCTCATTGTGAATTACCACATAAAATCAGTCCGAGGTCAAGTAGCACAACCAGAATTAATACATAAGGCACACCTGATTTTAAGGCTCATTGTCAATTTTTGAGAAAATTAAAAGCTTTTGAGTGTGCATTATAGTCTGAAAAATATGGTATTTTTTACAGATATTGAACTGGTCATTCTTAACATGTACTCTGAGCATTGAACAAACCATACAAGAGTTTTGTTTAAAACTTTGGGATGCAAGAACATGGCCAATAGTACTTCAACAAATGCTAGTTTTACTGTTTCTATGTTGTTAAAATATACTTGCAGATAAACATCTCTTATCTTGTAACACAGAATAAGAAAGACTGATTGTAGATCACAACAAACAACACTTGTCTCTGGACTTCAAACTGGATAAATCCCACTACAGTCAGCTATAACTTGAGCTTTAACACAGTTTAGTTGTGAGAACACGGACAATACTCCTGGGAATGAACACCAAGATGTAGAAGCGAAAAAATAAGAATAAAATAAAGTCTCAGTGTCCGCAGAAGAGCTCAAACTGCCTTAAAAGAAAGAATCAGTGACTCTGGTGTATATATTTGAGGCTGAGCATGAACTAGTAGGTGGTTGCTGTTTTTTTTTTTACTCTTCTCTCTCTCTGATGCACATTTATTAATCAACATTTTTATAACTCAATAAACCTTGATCATTCTGACAGATCATCCCTGTGAGGTTGATGATGAAGGTGACACCTTCTCCCTCTGGCAGAGCTTTTCCCCTTCATTTAAGAGATGAACTCCTCCCTCACCACCTGCTATCACTTCCAAACAGCTCACGCACCAGAGACTGAAAAGCAGGAAGATCACACGAAGGCAGTAAAGCAAAGACTCGTGGGACTGGTAACTTAAAGTTTAAATTGTTGTGATGCAGTTGTGTTTAAGATTTGTTGTTTTTGAACTTGGACAGTTTTGGTTTGGGAGGATTTAATGGATGATAGCAGTGTTCAACAATGATTAACTGTGAGTTGGTTTCATTTTTAGAATTATCCGCAACAAAGTGGGCTTACCAAAAGGTCATTCTAACATCCAATGTCAAAGGTGCAACAGAAAAAAGAAGAAATTGGTAAAAATAAATCATTTTTTGCAGCAAAGTTCACATTTCTTAATCAGTGCGATCACACCAGACATTAACTCTCTTCATTAGTCACATGAGTAAAGGGGCAATCACAAAGAGTTTTGGCCAAGGACAGTGCTTTAGAAATCTAAAGATGGTTTTAAAAGAGAAATCCAAGTTTGAAACCAAATTAAATGGGTTCTTTTTTTTGTCCTTTTGCTTTTTAAATTTTGGACAATACTTAGCTTTCTCATTAATTTTCATGAAAAAAAATCCAACAAAAACAAACAAACAAGCATATTTTCATTCCATCTTAATACTTTGTACATACAAATATTGTTTCATTGTAGTTTTTGGTGGTGGGGTGGGGGTTGGGGTAATTCTACCATTTAATCTCCTTAAAAGCCAAAAAATGAAGTAAGAGTCTAAATTTACTGAAGCTGTAACTTTTATCCAATCTTTAAATATATAATAACAATTACTGTATTGTTATCTGACAGCACTGTGGCTCAGTTGGTGGAGCTGTCGCCTCTCAGAGAGAAGGTCGCTGGATCAAATCCCAGCCTTTCTGGGTGGAGTTTGCATGTTCTCTCCATGCATACGTGGGTTTTCTCCGGGTACTCCGATTTCCTCGCTCAGACCAAAAACATGCATGTTAGGCTGATTGGTAACTCTAAATTATGCCTAGGTGTGAGTGAGAGAGTGAATGATTGCATGTCTCTATGCGTTTATGTGACAGACTTGCCACCTGTCCTAAATGTACCCCCACCCCCACACACACACACACACACACACACACACAAAGTGGCTGCTGAACATTGGCAACCCAGAAAAAAAGAAGTAAGTAAAGATAATTGAAGAACGAAAGCCATGACATTATTCATACCAAACAACTGTTTGTAGAGTTGCATCATGTGTGCAAATAATTTAAATGTGTTTTGCTTTTAATGTTGTAGCTTACAACATGCTGACTGTGTCAACGCAACAAAAAATGTGATTTTAGAACAAATTCTCCTTTAAATTTCTCAGAGGCAGAGTTGAGGATGAGCTGCTCAGTGACATCAGTGAAATTATTGTGCTTCACTTTCAGTTTTGAAAACTTTTAAAATCACAAGTGTTGGCTGTGAACATTAACAAACTGTCATTTTCGTCATTATGGTCTGTCTCCAACAAAATGCACTTTCTTTATACTGCATTGCATGATTAGTTTCTTATGCACAACACTGTGGATTAAAAAAACATTAAATTGCAGCTAAATACTGTATTTTAGACACAACTACAGCTTTGCTCACTCATTAGTACAGAGCCAAACTTTTGCAAAATCTATATAAAACATGTCAAAAGCTACTATTACAGATCTCTGCATAGCTTAACATTACTCTGCATCAATTCCAATAATCTAATTGATAAAGAAGTAAAAAGAATGTTCTAGAGAAAACGTATTTCTCTGCAGCTAAAGAAACATTGTCCATCAGATACAACAGCTGCATGGAAAACTTGATTTTATAAAAGCAGCTTTAGATAAAATACAAATAATTGTTTTAAACCATCTAAAATATAAATATGTAGCTCAAGCAAGCATTGTACTAACAAGGTAGGGCTGCTTTATACTGTAGTTTTATTTTAATAAAAATGTTCTGGCAAAGCCCCTGGAGAGATTTTCTTGCATGTACAACAGTTTACTACCAACACTCCCCTTTACACAGATATCTGTGACATGTGATCTAGTAATCAATGCATAAATGTGTTCTTTGTTCACTTCTTTTAAATAATTTTGATTTGTTGCAGGGTTTTTAGATTGCACTGCCCTTATCTGACTGAGCAGGCTGTGAAACACTTCCCAGCTTTAATTTGCACAGACACCATGTAAGCTGTCAGAAATCTTAACCAAAGCAGAGGTGGTCTGCTTATTATTTATTTTGCATCAAGCAAAACAGTGTGCAAACACATGCCTTCCTTTGCCTCCGTCCTCCGCTGCCTGTGGAGAGCTACTTGCAAGCAAGCAAAACATTTTAAAGAAACTAATCATCACCTGTGCATGAGTTTCTCTCACCTGCCTTTGCAGCCGCCTGTCTCCTGGTGGAACAAGCTAAGTTTTCTACTAGGCTTCCTGCAATGCACCTGCACTGAAATAATACTAAGGAAAATGCACGAGGGACAGAAACCCTTTCTTTTGGAGAAATGTTCTATTATGCAGCACATAAAGATCGCAGAGATGCACTCATCTAAATCTGGCATGCAATATTTAAAAGATAATAAAATTAATTGCAAAGGCTGCTAAAGTAGATGTGACTCTACAGGGTGTATTTATCCTTTGTCTTACATTGATAAAGCCTGCAGCCATTGTTTTTATATAAATTTTTAATTAAATACAAAATATCACCTGAACCAAACACAAAAGAGCACACTGAAACAGAGTCATCTTGTGGACATGTACCAAAACTGCAGTCCAGACAGCCAACCTAGTTTGTTGATCATACAGCGAGGAACCTCCCTTGACCCTGAATGGAGCTGAGACATCACAGCATCTTGAGCAGGCTCCCTCCAGAGACTTGTTTTCTCCAGTGAGCGGCTGTTCTAGTTTGTATAAGTGAGGCTTTGACAGCAAAGCTGAACAAACAGAAGCAGGAAACAGAAGCTCCAGCGCAGGTGGAGAAGAGGAGAGACAGGCCTGCACCCTGACTCCCTGCCACTCCGTACGAAAACTAGCAAACAGGAAGGATCGCTGAATGGAGCACTCAGTCCTGCCCAGAAATGACATGCGACACAATGCCGTCTACTAGTCCTGCTTATATATAGTAACCTTTCATCTAAGCAAATAAATCCAAGTCCACAAACAAACCTGACAAAACACTATGTTATTAGAGGTTTATCTGATTTTTAAACCAGCCCTGTTTTACAGACTACATAGCTAGTTGGGCTTGTTACATCTCCATCATGCATTGTATATCAAATTGAAGCGGGGGGGGGGGGGGTGATTCATTGGTGATACACCTCTGAGTATGCAAAAAAGCAGAGGTGAAAAGAGTACTGAGAATTTGTACTCAAATACAAGTACTTTTACACAGCTTAAAGTGTACTCAGTTACAAGTAAATGTACTGGTGTTATAAAAATTAAGTAAAAGTACAAAGTACTTTTCCCAAAAAAATACTCAGAGTATTAATTACTTTTAAACCAATTGATGTTTTATTCTGTCAATAGAAGGCATTCAGTTTAATTTATTGTATGTAATAGCTACATTCAAAGCTCATTTCTCAGATGCTCAGAAGCTCCATCTTATTTTAGTACCTGGCAAACTGATGGCAGTGACAATATCTAAGATCTTTGCATACTTAGCCAAACTAGTAACCCACACATACAAACAATAAAACAGCAATATCACACAGGTAGCTGTAAAACCTTGTATACGGCAATATGCTTTTTTGTGATTAGATGCTGAAGTCTTGTAAGCAGCTATCACCGTAGAGATCAAACAAAGTTTGCATCTGAACACTGTCTACTTTCCACCCTCTGTGCATGAAACATTCCTCCAGGTACGGCCACGGACACTTGTCCTCAGCCTTTACCTCGTCGTTTTCTCTTTTGACAGTGTTGTCCTCCGTCTCCATTTTGGCTTTTTCTCCAAATCTTCGATCCATAAATGACTCTCTACTCTACAGAGTTGTCCTTTGCGCCGTAGGTAATTTGTACATTTGCGATCTTAGAGCCTTATTGGCTACAAAGATGCAGATGAACGCTTGAATATTAATTCAAATTGCGGCCATACTCAGTAGTGACTTCTGATTTTAAAAGTAGTGAAGTAAATGGTTTAAATTGTACTTAAGTATGAGTACAATTGCACACTTAAAATAAATACTCATAAAAGTACAAGTACCCAAAAAAATCGACTTAATTACAGTAATGTGAATATTTGTAATTCGTTACCTCCACCCCTGCAGAAAAGTATGGAGGGGCACGTGCACCCTGCTGCTCTTTCCACAAACATTGTTGTCACTCAACTTGTTTCATGCTGTCAGATTATTGTGTATGAGCAAACACACCATTATAGGGCTGAGTCACTTTGGGTTAGCTCAAACCAAGGGACTGATGGCAGTCTGTTTGACACCAGTAAGGTGCAAGCAGATTAAAAATAAGCCGCAAAAGAAAGTTAAAGTGTAAACAAAATCAGTGCAACTACGGTAGTATTACTGATCATCTGTATTTTCTATTTTCTATTTTGTCCATTTCACTCACTCAGTGAACTATTCAAATGTCCCTCTATTGTCAAAAGTGGAAGCTATTTCTCATTTTAAGGACATCTTTTCTTGTTTGACTATGTTGATTGGTCTCACAATAGCATGAAGCTCATCAGCGGCTATCATTGGATGGCCGTGCAGTCAGACTTTTTGGAAACACAAAGGATTTTGCTCCCCCCCCTCTCCTTCCCCTATGGGCTATTATGTCTGACTGTGGCCACAAGGTCAGCCTGCAGACCTTCCTAAAGGACAAGGCCCTGCCCTGCAACCGCTCACCGGCTCCACTGCATATCCTGAGCTGGCTGCTATAACTGCCTGTGCATCGTTGGTTGAAAGCAACCAAATAGGAATACAAACTGTAGCCAATGGTAACACGTTTTTGACCAAACACTAGACCAGCAAATAAATCCTGGAGGCATAGCAGGCAATTAATTAATAAAAATGTTTTGTAGTTGTTGTTAGTTACATGATAGTTTACAGAGTTTATTGTTCAAGACTTAATAACGCAATGATTTTCTGCACAAGTAGGGCTTGTTGAAAATGAAAACCAAGGTCATTTAGAAAAATAAACTCAACAATTTGGAGTTTAATCTGAACTCACTTTGTGGTGCCTGCATAACCTCGAGATTCCTCCTCACTTGTCCTCCATCTCCACATTTCTGAGGAAGAAATCAAATACAACAGTTTAGCAATGCAGCCCAAGGGGCAAATAAAAAGCATTATAAAGATACAAAATACCTTTTTTTTTGTTTATAGGAACATGATGATTAAGCTACAGTTCCATAACAAGAATTTAATTTAGATTAACCAATTGTTCATTAGTCAAAAGTATGCAAGAAGGCAATAAGGTTTATTTTGTCAAGAACTCAAATGTAAACTGGTAATAACCTGAAAACCTGATTTATGAAAGTAAAAATGCCAACATTTATTATCCAGCAAAGTTCAGTCAGGTCATCTGGGTGGTTTCGTTAATTTTGTTGAGATGTTTCGTCCTTCATCCAAAGGACTTCATCAATCCGTGGAGCCACAAACAAACTGAGTCCCACAAGCAGCACACCGACATAGTGAACCAACAAATTTGCTGGTGATAAGATGGTTTCTGGGGCCCTCCCTCTCCCCCATTGACTCCTCTGAGGCAGCCAAAGTGGTTCAAAACAACAAAGTTCATGCTCAATATTCCAGGTAAAAAAATCCAACAATGTTCAGACAGGTCATCTGGAGGGTTTCTTTTTTTTTTTTGGAATCATTTCGTCCTTCATCCAAAGGACTTCATCAGGACTACTACCTCTGATATATGAAGTCCTATGGATGAAGGACAAAACGTGTCAACGAAAAAATAAACTGTCCAGATGACCTGACTGAACTTTGTTGGATTTTTTTTACCTGGATTATTGAGCATGAACTTTGGTGTTTTTAACCACTTTGGCTGTGGCCGCATTAGAGGAGTCAACGAGGGAGAGGGCAGGCCCCAGAAACCATTATCACCAGCAAACTGTTGGTCCACTAGGTGAGTGTGCTGCTTGTGGGACTCAGATTGTTTGTGGTTCCTCGGCCTGATGAAGTCCTTTGGATGAAGGACGAAACATCAACAAAAAGGAAAAAAATCGTCCAAATGACCTGACTGAACTTTGTTGGATTTTCTACCTAGATTACTGAGCATGAACTTTGACATAATTTATTATGGTAATAAATGATCTGGAGTTTATTCCAAGTTTTTGCATTTCCATTTGAAATTTTTAACTAAAACACCGTCAGTGTAGTTGGCACCGCAAGTAAAAACAGAACCTCTGTAGGCTAAAAAACGAAACAAGCCATTAAAAGAAAAATGGCAGCAACATTAGGTGAGGTCAAATTGGTAGCCTGGTGCAATGTTAGAAAAGATAAAGGTGTGCTCAGCAGAATAAAAAGCTTGGATGGGGGGCAACAAGAGTGGTTTCAGGAATCTTTTTTTTATGGTAAAGACAAACTCATTAACACCATGCAGGCACATGATAAACAGAGTCTCATTAGACTAGTCTAACATTTATAAGGGACTTTCCCAGAAGAAATAAAGAGCACTCATTTAAAGATGCAAGGGAATAAAATGCCTCAAGAACAGCAAAAATTAAAATAATTAGAACGTTATTGAACAAAACAAACTTCACTTAAGATCAGCTTGTTTATAACGGGGGAAGAAAAATCATGGAAAGCTCAAAGTCTGAAGCATACGGCACTGTCTACATAAAAAAACAGTGAAGTGTTGTAATAGTATATGGCACTGACTAACTTAGTATTTATTTATTTATGATATGACAAAAGGGAAAGGCCTTCTGGAGTATGAAGGGCTCGAATGTCTGCTCAGATTCAGGCAAACGCAGCAAAGTTGATTGGACAGTGCTCTATGGACAATGACCTAAAATAAACGGTGGAACCACTGCAGAAATGTTTGAAGGAGCAAAAAGAGGAAGATTCTTCACTGGCCAAGTCAATACACGGATCAGACTGCATTTCACTTGCTAAGTAAATATTAAATTAAAAGTAGAAAGGCGCATGGACACACAACTGAGGTAAAGTCCTGGCAAAGCTTAACAAAGGAGTGACTTTGTAGTGAGTTCCATAGGTCCCAGACTTCAGGCTGGAACTGCCTGTGAAGGATTCCTCAAACAGTATAAAAGAATCAACGTTATTCATTGGTATGGTAATTGGTCCAATCATATTTGAGACCCAGAATAAAAGGATTGTTCTGTGTATTACGGCTATAATTTCTAAACCCTTTTTTCCAATTTAAATGTAAATGTTCCTAAATTAAAATGAAGAGTCAGCACTTTTGAATAACATATTCATTTTGTATTTGTATATTTGTCAGGACTTTGTAAACACAGCAGCTAAAATGACAAAACAATAAATATCACTGTTCAAATGTTTCCATACTTTAATATAGTGTGACTGCAATTAAAATATAATTTTATTTCTGGTGCAGCATGAAAAAAATCCTTAATGAATTCCTACCTTGTCGTGGCAAAGTTGGACCGAGCACTCTAGATCCCACTTGGTGGACGTCAGCTCCTGGAGCTGATCTAATGAGAAGCTGAGTCGGGTGCTGTTGTAACAGGATTCCCTGAAGCATGGCTCTGGGATGGAGGACAGTTCTTTCACTACAGAACACGGGCCCTTAGAGCGCACTAAGCAGCTAATCACTTTGATTGTCAATACAATGCCCCCTAAAGTCCTCCCAGAAATCTAAAAGAAAGAAAGAAGTGGCACAAATTTCATATTAAAGGAAAAAGCAGTCTTCAGTCAAATTGCCATCAACTGACTTGTGTTATCTATGTATTGTGTAAAAAAAAAACAAGGTGAGAGCTTAATCTTTTGGTGCAAAGTGGTCAAAATGACATTAAACAAGTTTTATTTTCCCTTGGCCCAAAGCTGTTATTATTCATTCTGCTTCTGTTAATCTTCATTTAGTCTGAATGAAAAGAAGCAGTTTTGACTTTACTTATATAAAGTACCAACCATAGCAGTGATTCTGCAACTCAGATTCTTAGAGACCTCCTGACAAAATACTTGCATGTAGGAATGAACTCATTTTATGCTACAGAAACGATGAGCTATAAATAAAAACACTAATCATCATTAATAATTCCCAAGAACTAATGGGGCCCCCAACTCTCTCTGTCAGAACAAATCTAATATTCTCGTTTTTGAACTATTCTGCAGTTTATTTTAATAACTTGCTCATATCTATAAGTTATGCTTGTGCAACATATTACTACCCCTCTGTATAATTCTGTGTCACTAAGAATAGTACAGCACTGTGCAAATGTACACAAATGTCTAAAAAAGAGATGGTAAGATGGTAAAGTTTTTACATCATGTACAAAGTTCTGCATAGATTCTTACCTCTGCATAGATTCTCTTGTCACTCGGCACTTTGGTGTCTGGGTTCAAGGGTAAACGATAGTCTGGGGAGGTGTACAACTGCATGATCAGAGGCATCTGATGAGGGGGGTTAGTTGTCATGGGATTGTTTTGTTGTCGTATTGTTTCTGTAAGTGTGGGAGAAGTCCCTAAAATGTAATAAGGACATTAAAAGGTTATTATTACTTACTATTAATAATAACAATAATGATGATGATGATGATGATACGTTTGCAAATATTCCAATATATGTTTCAACTTTGTGTACTATTCATTTAAACAATAATTGCAGGGATCCAGTCACTAGGGAGCACAAGTCAGTGGATCTCTTGTACTGGTCCCAAGCCCAGATAAATGGTAAGGGTTGTGTCAGGAAGGCCAACCGACGTAAAACGCTTTTGCCAAAAGTAATATGCAAATTCATCAAATAAACAAGATACTGGATAAAACGAGGTCCTGGTTAGCAATGACTACCACCAGTTCTGTTGACAAGCTGGGCGATGGCTGAAATTGTGCTACTCTTAGTCAAAGACCACGAGGAGGGAAACATATCGGGAGACAGAGGGAGAAGAGGAAAGTCAAGAATGTAGGACTGATGGTGGTAACTCTAAATGTGTGGACAATGACAAGCAAATGTAGAGAGATGGCTGAGATGATGCAGAGAAGGTAAATGGTAAATGTTTTAAAACCAAATGGAAGGGAAACAAGTCTTTCATCATTGGGGCAGGGTTTAAACAGTTTTACCATGCTGTGGTTAGAAAGAAAAATGGAGTCTGAAGGAGGAGTTGGTAAAGAATGTGGTAGAGGTGGAAAGGGTGTCAGATAGGGTGATGATGTGTCTGAACATATAAATACAAGGTCTAATGCTAAAAGTTGTCAGTGGTCATGCTCAGCAGGTTGAATGTGATGTGAAGGAGAAGATACATTTTTGAAGGATCTGGATGAAGTGATAGAGAGTATTCTCAGGGAGGAAAGTGTGATGATTGGAGTAGACCTGAATGGACATGTAGATGAAGGAAACAGAAGGAATGAGGAGGAAGTGATTGGTAGGTTAGGTGTCAAGGAAAGAAACCAGGAAGGACAGATGGTGATGGATTTTGCCAAGATAATGAAATGGCTGTAGTCAACACTTATTTCCAAAAGAGGGAGGAACACAGCGTGACCTATAAAAGTGGAGGAAGGAGTACGCAGGTAGACTACATTCTGTCTAGAAACTGGGGACTGTGAGGTTTTGGCAGAGGAGAGAGTGGCCAGACAGTATCAGATGGTTGTGTGTAGAATGATTGTTGTTGTGAATAAGAGAAAAATAGTAAAATCAGAGAAGAAGACCAAATGGTGGAAGCTGATAAAAGAAAAATGTGAGAAATTCAGAGAGGAGCTGTTAAATATTCTGGGTGGTAAGAAAGAGCTTCCAGATGACTGGGCTACCACAGCAACAGTACTGTAATTAGAGGGACAGGTAAGAAGGTACTTGGTGTGTCATCTGGACAGAAGATGATATGGAAATCTGGTGATGGAATAGGAAGGTATTTTTTTTATGTGCATGAAGCTATTCAAAGAAAGAGGTTAGCCAAGATGACATATGACAATGAGAAGACTAAAGAGAGTAGACATGAATATAAGGAGATGCAACAAAGAGCAAAGAGGTGGTAACTAAGGAATAGCAGAAGGCCTATGATGAGTTGTATGGGAGAATGGACACTAAAGAGGACAAGAAGGACTTGTACCAATTGGCAAGAATGAGAGATCAGGCTGGAAAGGACAAGCAGCAAGTTAGGCTTGTTAATTATATGAATGGTAATGTTCTATAAAGTGAGGAGACCGTGATGAAAGATGGAAGGAATACTTTGAGGAGCTGTTGGATGAAGAGAATGAAAGGAGAAGAAGAGTAGAGGTCATGGAATATGTGGACCAGGAAGTGGGAAATTAGTGAGGGTGAAGTCCAGAAAGCTCTAAAAATAATGAAGAAGGGGAAGGCAGTGGGACCTGATGACACACCATTGGTAGATTGGAAATGTCTTGTAGAGATGGCAGTGAGTTTTTTGACTCAAATATTCAGACATATTTGAGGGTGAGAAAATGCCAGAGGAATGGAAAAGTGTGCCAGTGCCCATTTTTAAGAACAGGGGGGTGTACAGAGTTGTAGCAACTACAGGGGAATTAAGTTGATGAGTCACACAATGAAGATCTGGTTGTGGAAGAAAGACTTAGACGAGATGTGACAATTTGTGAGCATGCGTATGGTTTCATGCCAAGAAAGAGCATGACAGATGCCATTTTTGTTTTGAGGATGCTGATGGAAAAGTACAGAGAGGGTCAGAAAGACTTCATTGCATCTTTGTGTATTTAGAAAAAGCATATGACTAAGAAGGTGTGGTATTGCATGAAGAAATCTGAATTGGCAGAGATGTATGTTAGACTGGTAGAGGACATATATGAGTACAGCAGGACAGTGGTGAGATGTGCTGTAGGAGTGACAGATTGCTTCAAGGTGGGGGTGGGATTGCATCAAGGATTGGCTCTGAGCCCCTTCTTGTTTGCTCTGATGATGGACCAACTAACAGATGAGGTCAGGCAGGAATCCCCATGGACTATTCTGCTGGAGGGGCAAAACCTTAGAAGATTTGCTGCAGTCTTAAAACATATCCAATCTTTAAAACGTTTATTTAGGTGGCCATTCAATCTGTATTTCATAAGCGTTTACATTACTGCCATATAAGCCTTATAATGTTTTTTACACAGATTTATATGGTGTTTAGCTAGCAAAGATAGTGACAGAAACAGCAAAATGTAACACTTCTGTTACAAGCTGAGGTACTTCTAATAAAAACGTTATAACATTGCTCCTGTGTGAAACTTGTAATGCAAAAATGACAAGAGTTGAATACTGTACTGTTACCATGAACAACTATGTAGTTTGTTTGTTTGTTTGTTTGCCTGCTTGAATAATTATGTTATTTCATAAAATACCAACTTTGGCTTTGGTCCTGCTCAGTCTAGCTCTTAGTTCATCCATATGTTCAAAATAAAAAATATTTGTCCAAACAGAGGTTGTTCAAAAACTGTGTACAACAGGTATTTATTCGTGCCTTTTCCAAGTAACGTGATTATAAAATATCTTTACTGTGGTCAAAGGTTTTGAGTCAAGTTGATCTTTACGACAGAGATGAAAAGAGAAGTCATACCTCCAAAGTTGTTTTCTTTTCCAAGAACCAGGAAAATGAAAGTCTCATTTATTTTGACTTCTGTGTAGCTGGTGAAATTACTGGTTGTAAAATGTTTTAACGCCATCTTCTGCACATCCTCTGCCTGATCACTGGTCAGTGTAGTGGTGAGCGTCGGTTTGATTATGTGTGTGAATGCGGGCAGCAGGATGTCATTGTTGGACTGTGGAACAAAAGAGGACAAATGTAAAATGGTGGTAAAGTAGAATGGTCCTTACATATTATTAATATAAATTTATATTTTGTCTTGCATGCAAATTAATGCATTTCAGTTGTTTTGTTACTTTGAAAGCAAGAGTTACTGATACTGAACCATGTCATAATTGTGCTTTGGATCACTGAAGTTCAGCAATAAACTTACCCCAAACTTGGCCACTTGAGAATTGAAGACGGTCCATGTGGTGCCCTGGGGGCCTCTCAGGAACACACTGGTTTCCATTGTCTTCACAAGCAGGAAGACATTGCTGCAAAATGTGAAACAGATTATTTCAAGACAAACGTAGCCAAAAAAAAAAAAAAAAAAAAGAGCAGAAAAAAAATCTAGAAAAAGTTTTACCTAACACTGAAGTGCTCTGGGATGTTTATTATGTGAAGCTCATCTTTGCCAGCCTTCTGTGGGTGGGGGGTGCAAGATTTTAGCCAAGATAAACTTGTTTCCATCTTCATAAAATGTTTCTTTGATACGTCTTCATTGTCAAGTGTACAGTTGGCAGTGCCGGGTTTGGTTCCTGTAAAAAATAAATAAATAAATAAGTCACCTTTACAGCAACTGGTTATTCCTGCTAGAGCACAAATCACATTACAAAAAATAAAAGCAAAACCAAAATACATGCGTTATATAATGTAACTCAGAGATTAGTGGCTCTAAAAATAAACTGCAGTCAGTTTGAGAAACTTGTGAATGTCAAGGAAACTGTTCCCGACTTGGTTGTTGAATTTGATTTGTCACTTGCCGACTAGGATAAGAACAAGAAAATCATGAAAACATTTTTTAAAAAATTAAGTTGCTCAAAAATTGTGACAGCAATAGTTGAAAAAGAAACGTTGGCCAGGAGCAGCCATTACAATTTAGACATATTACTGAGCTTTTTTTATTTATTTAGCTTTGATCGCATTAGGGAGGCTTTACTCTGGAATAATTGTGTTTACAGGATGCAACCTGCTGCTGTCCCTGATTAAAGTCCTTTATTATGTTATCCTTTATTTTCACCCTTTATCAGTCATTACTGATCACTTTGAGTTGTAATATTTTTGAGCCTCTATGGCCCACAGCTTCCAGATGTGCGAAGTACTTTGACATCATGTCTTAAAGAAAGTTCACTTTAAACTCAGATGGAGGAGTTCTCCAAATACGGGACTATTTCTGTCCTTAATGGCTGTGCATTTTGTGGTGAATTGCCCATTTAGGAAAATTTTGAACTCAGTAATACCTGCTTTCTCACATATAAAGGTACTGCATCTTTTTTTTACAACATAGGAGAATAAAAATCATGGTTGGACAAAGCCAATAATTACACACATGAGTGTGTGACTGTGCAGTTTTCAGTAACAAGCTTTGAAGAGGACAAAGACTTGTGTTAGATATGTTAGATG